CCATTATATGGACTTTGCCTCTAAGTCAAGCGAAAACATGGTGTGTTATGTGGCCATGAAAAAACATGCATAGATTGATCTAGGAAAAATACACTACTACTCTGGCACGTGTGGTTCTATGAAAGATATTCATAGATTGATCTATTAAGGACATTTTATGGGTGATTTGGTTGAGAGTCTACATGAGTCAATTTCTCTCTCTAAATCTCACCAAATTGGACTGATCCCTTTATAAATAACTCCTTTCTCTTTCAAGATTAATTAGACATCTAAAGTTGTCTTTTTTTCTAAGGAAATTTTTTATATAGAGTTGAGGTTTTAAACAATCAAATTAGAGTTTACCTCCAAAATTTCACTACCAGAGGTTGTTTTAATGCCAAAATATCCTCAAATTGATCGTCTCGATATCAAGATGCATGAACATGATAAAAAAATAGCTTTCAAGTTTTGGAAAAAGTGCATCTTGCACTGCATTTTTTAACCATCAATTTTCAAAATTTTTATATTTCCATTGATGTGCACTCTTTTTTAAGCTTTAAATTTTATAATTAAATATAAAAGTATATTTTAAAGCTATCATAAAGATTTCCAACATTGAAACCACATTTCTTGAAACTATATGTAGGTGGGCTTTAATTTGATTGTTTAAAACCTCGATTCTATACAAACTGCACCCTTTCCCTAAACCTAGATCGTAGTTACATGATGACCACGGTTTCAACAAGTCATAGGACCTCCATGTATCAATGGGTCCCCTATCAAAAAATTAATTTTGAGATGGATTTTGATCTTAATTCCAAATTTTTTTAACATGAGGTAGGAATAAGTTAAAAAATAAATAAATTTTAAAAATTGAAAATGATAATTTTATGAAAAAAATATTTAGACTATTAATTTAACTATTTTTTTTTAAGAAAAAAGACCACCCATTTATTTGCATCCGTCTTTATAATGGATGTTTTATGCTACGCGGGACACAAATGTAGAATTTAGGAAGCTTAATCCAAGCCGTAGTGCGATTGATATGTTTTTATGAGTAACTGTTGGGTTGAGCATGGTTCTTATACTTGGACAATACACCATAAACATCATATTCATGCTCTATAGATATGCAGATGGGTGCATTCATCATACATTATCTATGGTGAGGGTGTAGAGCAGTGAAATGCCATAATACCTTCGATAACCCAGAAATGCACTCCATCTCGACCCTTCATGTTGACAAGGGCTTGTTACTATGCCCCATTCATCAAAGGGTGGCTATTATACACTGAATAGGTTTTGTTTGGGTGACAATTAATTTTAACGAGAGTAGAGTATTTTAACTAAAGGTAATATACTATGCACAATATTATTTTGTTAATTGTTTGTTAAATATCTTGATTTATATATAATATTAATTAATTAATTAACTATTATTTTAATTTTTATATTATTTTTAGTTAATTCTAATAAAAACATGTGATTTTCAACTAATTATTTTTAAAAAAAATAAATGTTATTTTAGTAGAGATAAATTTATATGTAAAAACTGCCTAAATTTATCTTAGATAATTTTATGAGGGGAAGCGCCAAACAATATACAATTTATTGTCATGATTAATTTTATTACAACAGTGATTTATCAAGGATAACAAATTCTCGTGATTCAATACCAATATTTTTTTTTCATAACTTGAAGATAAAAACACCCTCTTAATAATCAGTGTATATACATGCTAGTCATTATAGTTTGAAGATAAAAAGACCTTCGAGCTACTCGTTATTTCTCCCAAATAGGGGTGGCAGAGGGTAAACGGATCCAGACCCAACTTCCCCATACCCAAACTCAGATCTGACTAGCCGAATCCAATTTTTGGATCCGTACATGGACCCGGATCGAGTTTAGCCTGGGTCCATTATCATTGCCTCCCATATCTCCAAATGAATTCGTTTGGACTTACGTTTTTAAGCTGTGGTAAAAGAAAAATAAGGGACACTCTTAATCATTTTCCAACGACCAACTACATACGAAGTGGCCGGCCTATTTTTTTTTTTTCCTTAAAGGCTTCACAGGCGATGCTTCTCTTTTATGCGCTGTCCATTTAATTCTGGGTTGTTGCACTGTGACATGTTATCACATTCCCATAACTTAGCAGACATCTACCCTCACCTACAAGTTCTAGAATGAATGCTTCTCTCGCCAAAAAAAAAACGCATTAAAACACTCCAGTGTGAACACCTCTCTCTCTCTCTCTCTCTCTCTCTCTCTCTCTAGGACACCACTTGCTTTGTTTTGGGACCCCACAATTGTGATGTTTTTATGTAGTGCTTTGGGTAGGAATAAGTCTTCTCAATCCTCAAGTCAAACGTTTATATAAGGTGTCAATCTTTTACTGCATTAGGAAGGTGCACCTAAAAAATCCATAACATGAGGCTGTTGTTATGATAAAAAAACTATCAAATCGAATCATCTCCATCTGAAGATTCATAAATATGAAAAAATGGGGATTTATGGTCCGAAAAATAGTTCATCTTCAAACAAATTATACAGACCGTCTATTTTCAATATTGTTAAGTGCTTATAGATCTTCTTTGATCGTCATCATTTTTGAAACTTTAAATTTTATAATTGGGAGCAACAATACATAGTCATATTATAAAGCTTTGTGGCACCGAAACTGTATTTTTAGTATAGTTTTGAGGTACACCATACTCCAATAATATACACGTTATACAAACCTCACCCCAAAATAAAGGCACTTCAATTCACTGATAGTTTGGAGAGGAAAAGAAGTAATCTTTACCGTGAAAATTCACCCTTGACCTCAAGCCAGAGAGAGTGAGGAGTTGAGAACAAACGGAGCCGAACATTACAGTGATACATCCACAGTGAAAATTCTCTTTTACATCACAATGACCTTAAGCTAGGCCGTCCATTTCGCCCTAGAAAAGAGTGTTTATATATGAGCAAGATTTGTACTGTATTTTTTTTTTCAAATTTCATAATCGGTGTTGAAAATTGATTTTAGAGCCATCATGTGTCGAAAGTAATTTCAATATGAATATTCGAGAGGAGGCTGTTTTCATAAAGCCTAGGCCTTATCCCTTGGATAAAATATCTCAATATTAGCGTTGATTATCTCGAAAATATGTTGGTTTTTTTTTTTTGGATAAGTATCTCGAAAATATATCGTTAGGAATATTGTAAGACAGTATGCTCATGGTACAATAGGGTCGCACTCACTCTTAACCCTTAGATGTAAAATCCACTGACCAGGGGTTTATCACAATTCAAAAAAATCGTTTTAACTTTGAACACGTTATTGTATCTTCTTGTATTATATGTAAATTATCGCATTATAAAGTTTCTCCTATTTATATTCATATGATCAATGTCGTAAAATTGCTAAGTCAGCTCGAAAGTGGTGGGGCCACTTGTCTGGCTTTAGGATCCCTAATTCTTTACCTGTTTTTTCTGGTGTCTAAAAAAATTTTTTCCTTCATTTTCATTAGAAAAAATCCAGGAAAATCTGTGAGCAAATTTCCAACAGTTCGAGCATGCACAGAACAGTGATGGCCATGTTTAACGCACCTATTTTTTAAACTCCGCATTGTGATCTCAGGAGCAATGGTATCAGGATCGAACCGGTGTTCGAACCGGCAAAGGTACTGGTCTAGTAAAAACTCATCTAACATACAGTCAAACCAATCGGACTTCTTTTTCAGTATAAAAATTTGAAAATGTACTAAATTATCAAAATTTTAAGGTTAAACCAATGAAAAGAGTGGGGCTTTTCCAATATTAGTTGAATAAAACAGGTAGAACCAATCAAAATTATACTTGTTTTAAATAACCTTCATGAGTTACGGTTTTGTTTAACTATCCAAAGTTAGCTTAATCTTGGCTAATTTTTTAGAAATTGCGATAAAAAGGAATAGATTTCACTCCATTTTCAATAAACTATTACACAAAGATGTTATGTTTAAATTTGTTCCCAAGACTATGTAGAGATTGAATAATGTGTCACAACAACAAAAGAAATAGGTCTTACTCAAATTTTAAGGAGCTGTCATAAAAATAACAAAATGACATAAAAAAGAAAAGAATTTTGACAAATTTGATCTTTTGATCTTTCTATTTTTTGAAAAAGAAAGATATAGTTTTTTCTTTTATTACGAATATTTGGAACAAAATTTTACAATAAACTTTTGCATGCAATTAAAATGGAAAATATGGAAAGAAAGCATAAATGCACAAATGGAATTAAAAGATTCAACCATCCATGAGAACAATCAAAAGTTCAAAACCGACCAAACCCATTCGACCGGTCAAATGCTGATTTTGATCGATTATGCGTAAATCATTTATAGCTTCTATCATACTAAAAGTCCTGGTGGCGGGTTTTACTATTGAACAGCCAACCCCGTCCGGTTAGTCACAAATGTTACTACCATCCAAGCAATTGATGAACAATTGTAGTGAGAGAGAGGGGATCAAAACAATAATAGGAACAGTATACAAGGAGATCATTTACCTTTTGTATAGAAATGTCATAATTACTTGTAACATGTGAAATAATTCGATAGCTTCGATGTGTGATAAAGTCGAAAAAAATGAGTTTGATCAATAAAATAAAATAAATACAATTATGGAATTTTATTGGTCAAGAATTATGACCGTACTCGCTGGCTGTTTCTATGGTACATATTATAATCCAAGCGATACAGTCCCAATTCCTCTCCATCGCCGTCGGCATTTAATTGCGACGGCGACCACAGTCGTGATCATATTCTTTCTATAATCCTATGGTTGTAATTTTTACTTTCCCATAGAAATTAAAGTACTATCCATCATCTATGTTTGTTGGCACTCGAAAGGGTTGAAAAACTGGTAGCAAATAGATCGAAACCAAAATTCATTCCATCAAATTAAAGAAAGTCCATGCTCATGTGGCACCGCCTCATCTATTAAAAAATCTGTAATATAGAGAGTGAGAGAGTGGCATCTTGCACATCGCACTTTTTTGTCATGTTCACATGGGCGCCAAACTCATCATAATTACATCCCAACACCCTCTCTCTCCCCCCACTTTTATATACCAATCATCACTCATCCCTTTCCTCCTCCTTCCCTCTCAAAAGACGGAAAAACCAAGAGAGAGAAAAGAAGAGCACAAGCGTGAGAGGAGAGAGAAAACCAAGAGGAACGACCCAATTGATCAAGAAGTTGAAAGCTAGAGAGAGATGGGCGAGTGGTTAGTGGCGGTGGGGGTGGCGGTGGCGGTGGTGGTTTTAGGAGGGGCAGGGGAAGTGGGAGGTGACCTGGCGGAGGACAGGAAAGAGTGCACGGAGCAGTTGACTGGGCTGGCGACGTGCCTGCCGTATGTTCAGGGGGAGGCGGCGTCACCTACCAAGGACTGCTGTCGTGGGTTCAAGCAAGTGGTGGAGAAGAGTGACAAGTGCTTCTGCATCCTTATCAAAGACTCCACTGACCCTAACCTCGGCATCAAGATCAACACCTCTCTCGCTGCCAAGCTACCCCACTCTTGTAGCACCTCCGTCAATATATCCCGGTGCCCAGGTTAAGCTCTGACCCCTCTCTCTCTCTAACCTCTATCGGGTTTTGAGTAAAGTGTGTTTTGGGTTTGTTTCAGAGATTTTGCACATATCCCCAAACGCACCAGAGGCTCAGATCTTCAAGCAATTCGCCAGTGCTGTGGCTACTAATACCTCCGCCCCTGCGTCTGTTTCTTCCACTGGTGAGTTCTCTCTCTTTCACTTTCTCTTTCTCTTTTTCTCTCTTCGTTTATTTGCTGTGGTCTTTGCAGGCTCTGGGAAGCAGAATGGCACTTCGAGTGGGTCAAGCTCTGATGAGAGCGGAGCTTCGAGAGATGAGAGGATATGGCGGGGCCTTTTTGTGTGGTGTTTTACTTGCTTGCTTCTTGTTTTTGCGTGGTGAGAGAAAGGAGGAGAGAGAAAGAGGGGAAAATCAGATGTTTTGCATTAAAAACCGTCAAAGTGGGAATTCATTGTGGATTTGTACCAGTAAAAATTGACGGGACGCTGTAATTAATGGCTTTTGAGACTTAAACTCATCTCTTCCCTACAACTCCCTATCTCAGAGTCAGACTATATTGCTCCTTTTTTTTCTCTCTGCAACTAATACTCTCCTTCTCTTCTCATTCTTGTGGTGGTGTTGTACTTTGTTGTTTGCTCCCTGAGACGATCTACTATTCACTATTGAGTTTTCATGACTTGAAGTCTGGAATGCCTCGAGCAATTTTAACTGCAGTGCTGTAACCGATGAGGGTTTCTTAAAATGCCAAACGCTTTCGCCCCCAACTGGTTTGACTACAGGAGACCCAGTATGTAGGAAAGCACGAATGGAGAAAGGAACCCGGCCCGGGGACGGGCCGAGTTGTCCAACCCGGCGAGTAACTTTTGTCTAACCGTGGCAATGGCTAGAAAGTGTTTAAAAATATATAAAAAATCTTAAAAAATATGTTAAACAAAGCACATATACGTGACGAAAAAATGGATTTTGAAAAATCAATTGTGACTAAGGTATTTGAGAAATAAACCAAAAACAAAAACAAAAAAATGTAAAAGTAAGTATCTAGCGCCAAAAAACACTTGATCTTTGTTAAAATTATAAAAAAAAAAAATAAATAAATTTTTAATTTTTTTATTTACTTTATTTTAATTAATTTATTAGTTTAAGTTTAAGTACGTACGTCGTCGTACACCTAA